AATGCTGTCTGCTGGATGAAAAATGTCTGACCAAGGCTGACATAAGAGAGATGACCAGGGAAGAGGTTGACACTCCTGAAGATACTGGAGGAGTGGAAACCAGAGCTGACCTGACCAATATGGTGCTATCAGAAGAACTCTACAGAACATGGAGAAAATCAGTGCCAGAACCTTGGAGAGCAGACAAATTGGAGGGAATACATAAAAATGAAAACCTGTCCAATCCTGGCTGAGGTACTTGAGACCAGAAGGATGGGAGCTGAGCATTGGGTGTGTGGCAAAAGCATTTATCTGTGGTGTCCCTAGAAAAGAGCAGATCTAATGAAAAACTTGAGGATGAAGCATCCATTCTGTAGGAAGAGCTCTGTTGGGACAAGATAACTGGTTGGCCACCAGATTAATTACCCAAGGAACATGACAAGTAATGATAACAATCTGGTGTTTTTATGCCCAAAGAAGAAGATCCACTGTTCAAAAACAAAGAGACCTCCTTTATGAGACTACAGTGGAATTGTCCAAATTAAGCACAACCACCTTTTCTCGCAACAATTTGAGACCTCAAGTCATAGCTCATTGAATTGCTAAAAGTCCTAGGAGATTGATGTGAAGAGAAGCTTTCTCTATTGTACAAAATCCTTTGAATTCAATATTATCTATACAAGCTCCCCAGCCCTGAAGAGAAGCATCTGTGAACAAATGTATCACTGGCCATGGAGGTGGTAGAGGAACAACTATTAGTATGTTGTCCTTGTTCAACCACCAGTATCATTGGACAAGTCAGCACATCTATGCAAATGTCCCAATGGTCCTACAACAACAATTCAAAGGCCCTCATGTGGACCAATCCTAAAAGAATGAGTGATTCCATGGATGCCCCATCCAACAAAAGAGATAGAATTGTGCATGCTGTTGGAGAAGGAGATAACTGTATTTAAAGAACCACCAGTTCCATGGCCTGATGACATAGAGAAGAAAGTTAGACCCAGCTTAGTTTGGAATTAAAAAACACTTCTAAATGGAGGAGGTACTGTGTGAGAGTAAGAACTGACTTCTTTTTGATAAGAAACCCAGCTCTTACAGCTTCTGATAATAGAGTTGGAGTGTGCAGTTCTGTCAAATGACAAGAAGCCAGTTGTCTATGTAATGGTGAGTGTAAATGCCAAGGGAGTGAAGATGACATGAAATAACTGATTATCTGACAAAAAACACAGAGCAGATGTGAGGCCTGAATGGTAGAGTACAAAACTGAAAAACCTGGTTGTTGTACATGAAATGGAGATAATGCCTTGAAGACTCAGCAATTAGGATATGAAGGTAGGCATCTGCAACATGGAATTTTGTCATCCATAGTCTGGGTGAAAAGAGCCACTGAAGGAAAAGAAATGACAACTGTAAACCGAGGAGGCTGGAAGAAGCGATTGAGAGGAGAAAGGTCAATGACCAGTGATCAATCATCCGTCTTTTTTTGGTATTACAAACATCCAAGAATAAAAACCCTCGAGAGAGGAGTTGATGCACTCTATGGGCTCTTTGTGCAGAAGATCCTGGATGGCTTGTGCTTGACAGTTGGAAGTAAGAGGGTCCTTCAGGAGTGGAAAGCCAACTGGCATGAGAACTTGAATGACCCACTGATCTGTGGTGAATGTCTTCTATACTGACACAAACCCTTGGAAACAAAACTCCACTAGACCTAACCCCATAAGATAGTCACTGATGAAGAAACCTGCACTCCACTCTGAAGGAGGATCCTCGCTGGTAAGGTCAAAATTGCTCATGTTCCAATGGATCATGACACCGAAGCAGAAAGTCTCAAAACTTAAAACGAGAGACACAGTAAACCATCCTATACAAAGACTTTGGGATGGTCAAGAAGCCAGTACAGAACAAGAAGAATGTAGAAGGGCCACATCTACACACAATTCCATTGAGGGGAAACCAAACTTTAATAATGAAGAGGAAGATAGTGAGAAATTAGACTCGGGTTATTGGATTCTACTCTCTCCTTGGTATTTGGTTGGTTTGTTGCTGTGATCTTTTGTAGAAAGATCCCCTACTGGAGGGCTGTTGTGCAATGTATATGTGTGTGTGTGTATATATATATATATAACATTGTTTCATCCGTCCATTTACAGCCTTTCTTAGCAACTAAGTAAACTAATGATTATGTTATCATATTATAATTTTAGCAATAATAATATTTGTAACACAATTTTTCAAATTTTGCTGAAGATGGAATAAGTTATTCCAAAATATTCGAACCTTGTAAATAAAATGTTTTATTGTTTACCAACCGGTCCACCCTTGATCTGCCACCAACTCAGCACCAGAACCAACAGGAGAAAAAGCATCAGACCACTAGCAAGATTCTACCTCTCTGCATACAAGGAATATAATACTCAGATTTTCAGCACTGGCTTGAAATTTGAGGCTAAAGACAAGTATACCATTCAAATAGATGAAATGCATCTTATACTGCAGTCCTTTAAGTGTTCCATCAACCTCTTGGAAGTGGCAGAAACATTACTGACCAAATGGGATGATCTGTACATTGTTGAATGAAGGCATTGACATGCATTAGCAAGTTCAACCATCTAAAGTCTGCACAAAATCTTGACATTTTATCCTTCCTGACAACATCACTAGAGATGACCTGAAAAAAAAAGACTGCACAGCAGTTTTATGGATATATGTCACCTATAACTTTGCAATGATGTGTGTCAGCTGACCCAGTTGGCCATCTAGTGCCACAAACATTAGCACACTTCCTCAGAGTTTTGCATAGTTTATGTCTGTGTCAACTCCAGATTGTCAGCACAATTCTAAACTAAATTTAAGATGCGCTGGAAGTTGCATATTGATTCTCAGATGTGGTATAATGGCTAAAGTATACACATAACTAAAAACTAGTGACTGGGAGTTCTTTCTTCACATTCTTGGCACGAAGTTTAGGAGTCCAATTATGGCAGTATTTCTGGTGCAGCAATGGCAGTTTGGTCTGGAAAGCCCTGTTGTCACACAAGAAGCCACAGTGGCTTTGTCATGATACTTTGTGACATCTGCTGTAGTGAAGAAGGCAGTTAACACTTTTTTTGAGCCTTAAAGATTATCGTGGATCCTGGAAGCCGTCTTAGTACAGTCTATAGTTACAGTTGCTACTACTACTGGTTTCTTTCTCTGCTCCAGTCTACAGTTCAATGTATAAAACTCAATGAAAAATTATACTGTTTCAAACTTGTCATGTATGAAAAGAACACTCATTATATGAAATGTAATTTTTTCTGCAGCCAACACGTGCAATACACCGAGTTCTAGAGTTTTAAAACAAGTCTCTTTTTTCATTAAATGTAGTTCAGTATACTTGAGTGTGTGTGTGAGCAAATAAAATCTATACACACACATGTATCTTTTTTCAATTGAAATTAATATACTGCTACCTACATGTATATACTTTATCAGTGAGCAGTGCAACATGATAATGATAACACAATACTACTATTATTAAATGAAGTTTTATTAGTTTTTGTAGTTTCATTACTACCATTTATTGTGAAAAAAAATTAAATCAAACTCCCAGTTTCAATACAGCTACACATTTTTGTAACCAAGAACTACTTGATAAAATAAGAATTGATAACATTTATATTTGTAATTAGAACTTGTATAAGTATATCAAACAATCTTTTTAATCTGAATTTGAAGCATTACCTGCCTTTTCTTCTGATCTTATTTTATCTGTACACCCAATATTTCTGATAATAAAAAAATACAAAAGAGGAATTTATTCTATCCCCAAGAATAAATAATAAACATGTACTTGTTTAAGGTAGTTCCTACATTTTAGACAAATGAAGAATTATCAGTCTTAATTTGAGGAATGGAGCCAACCATATTATCTAGAAGTGTACTTTTGTCAGGTCAACATATATATCTAAACATATTATGCATATTATAAAAACATTATGTGCTTAACAGAAAGAATTTCTCCTTGTTCCACATTTAGGGCCAGATTTTAATTTTCAGAAACAAAGGCAATTTCACAAAGCAAAGAAAAAATAATATTTAAACTGGGAATAACACTAAACTTCAATTATATAATTCTATTGCATTGTACTTAAAAAACACAATACTGAACTAAAAGGCAGCTAAAATGGCCTGCCAATCACCACATTACAAAACAAGAAAACATCGTAGAAATAGAGTTTCAATGGGTGTAGGTAATCTTGAATACGTTACATATCATAAATAATACCGAAGAAGTAATGTTGTGCACATAACTATGGTAACATTAGACCTCGAAAACTATATTTTGATAGAATAACTGAGATTCTGAGGAGTGTTTTAACTTGTATGGCTTATACTTATTGTTTTAGGCCTACTGCCAGGCTTTTTATTATATTACAGTTACCCTCAGGATACACAAAAATAAATTAACTAAAATCAGAGGTTTTGTTTGTTTGTTGGTAATTAAGCACAAAGCTATACAATGGGCTATCTGTGCTCTGCCCACCACAGGTATTACAATGCTAGAATCCGGGTTTCAAGTCTGCAGACATACCGCTTGCCACTATTGGGGGGGGGGGGGCATCAAACTTGGTGTAACGACTTAAATAATTTTTAAGTTATAAAGATACTAATGATATCGAAAAAATAAAATCAAGATAACTTAGATCACATGTTTAATATACATGGGAACTTGTTCAAATTCAATAGTGTGACTGCACAAAAGGATTTTGGCATAGTATTAGTGATACAAAAATCACTGATGCTGTCAAGGTAGTGCTCTGTTATTAGTAGTAAAGCAACAAAATTTTATGAAGTACTTTAGACATTAATTACAAGTCAAAAACAGTTACTTATCTCTTTGTACAAGTCACTGGTTAGGCCTCTCTTGGAGTTGAAATATTATTGACTTATTGAGAGGCTTTGGCATATTTTTGCTTCAAAAAACAAGATTTAAATCTTGTATTGTGGCTATAAAACTAATTGCATTGTTAACTTACTGCTAGCTATGTTAGATGCAATAATAAAATTACCCATATGCCTAATGCTTGGATTATCAATATGATCTCACTCTAACCCAGTCTCAGTTAAACCACCTCTAACTTCATAGTTGAAGGTGTACAGTGATTTGATTTTGAGTAAAACTAAAAGAAACCTTGTAAATATAAATAAAACATATTCCGAATGAAACCGGCAGTAGTAATATTTATTACACTTATATAAAACAATTTTTCTATTCTTTTCCAACATTAGATTCAAATACCACACTCGATTACACATTATTACACCTTCCACGTTTCATTCCATTATTGTATATTTACATTTCATTTAACAACATCGTTAGAGGGCGTGTCATTCATTTCCAAGAGAAGTAACGAAATTATCAAACGTAATTCCATGATCTTCGTATATTTCACATCTTGTTTATTATCTTAATCTTGAAATTATGGTTATGTTACTTAAAAGATAAAACCAAAATGGCAATAATTGGCGGTATCGTACGTAACCGGTGTATCACTCCACCTACTGCAGATCTAAATTAATTACTTTTATTCATTTCGATTTCTTTTTTATTGCAATAGTTTATACCGTTGTGGTTAGACAAAACGTGAAACGATAGCTTAGCTTACTAACGTTATACTACTAGTACTAGTTACTACTTAGCCTTCAAAGTTCAATACTAGTACTCGTAAATTTGTTTATATTAATATTACTAATTATTGATAATTGAATATTGACAACTAACTATAATATACTGTATTGATTACCTGAACTTATTTTATGAAATTTCATTTGTTTTTGATGCGCTTTTTTTCTCGTTTTACTAAACTATAAAATAATTCGTTAATGCTAATACTAATAGTGGTAGTAATACAATATAACTCAACACAATCAATGTATCATAAATTCATAACATTTTAACAAACATACAGTTCCATTTTAAGCAATGTCTAAAAAGCATAAACACTAAAAAATAACGCTTATTAATACTAGTTACACTTACACTGTTAAAGTATTGTTTTAATCAGGCACACGTCAATAGAATTAATTTCATAAACGCTTCCGCAAAAGACTACTTTTGAACGTTACGCGCTACACGGCTAATAGTAAGTTTACAACTCTTGCCTGTAGTATATAACTGAACAGCGACGATCCTTATCACTTTTACGACCTCTATAACTTAAAATCGTGGTAAGCTTCTCTAAGGATAAAAATGAGCATTGTATTAGTTATAACAGTATGTTGGTAAGTAAGCAATATCTTATGCATTAATATGTAGTATTTATCCCTAACATTACCAATAACGTTCATATCGACTTTTTAAACGTATTTTTCTGAACTATTTATACACCATGTCTAAGACTTTGATGGTTGCAAGATCCCAAATAACACGAGTTAAATACGCACACACACAGTTAAATAAAAATAGCGTTAGTGTTGCAATTAATTCCACTAATTTCTGCTGGGACTTCAGTGTTTTTTACATGGAAAAATGAGTGACATGCAAAAACATAAAATTAATTAAAACGGTGTAATATGAAGAAATCGCGGTAATAAACGGTTTAAAACCTGTGCCGTAGCCAAAGGGGTGACATGATCACATATTATTTTTCAGCTTTTGTTTATAATAAACTCGTTTTGTATCATTTAATAAAAAATAAATAAAACTTCTATCAACACTATTACATTTGATTTGTTTTAATGACCATTTTATTAAAAATCTAGATTAATTTCAGCTTTTTAATCTATTGGCCCCTTAAAATTTTTTGCCCCACCCCCCGAGTGGAAAACCTGTGTACACCACCGAACACAAACAAGCTGGTAATTTACATTAATTCCAATGATTTAACATTATTTTGTGTTTGTTTTTGTAACTTAGTTACTAAACTAGATAGCAATACTTTACAAGTCAATGGCCCCCAGTGGCACAGCGGTATGTCTGCGGACTTACAACGCTAGAAACCTGGTGTCGATACTCGTGGTGGGCAGAGCACAGATAGCCCATTGTGTAGCTTTGTGCATAAATTCAAACAAACAAACAAATACAAGTCTATT